TATCAAACCAGCCTCTGCTGGCTTTACATTCCTCACTTGCTGCGCTGGTAGAGGGGTTTTTCCGCAGTAAATCACTGTGCAGTTTCCTGGCTTTGTCACAGATCATAGCCTCACTAACGCTATCACCTGCCAGCTGTTTCTCATTCAGCCACATTAACAACAGCTTTTCCATCTCTTCCAGCACTTGTGCCCTCTGCTTGGTTAACATCGTTACTCCTTTTGCCACATCAGCTCCTCTGATGCCAATTCTTCAGAATAATCGAGATGGTCGATTTCGCCATCTTGTACTCCGAGCCCAGATCAGTCACACGAATACCACGATCATGTTTTTCTATCATTTCCTTCTTCAATTCGATCGTTAGTATTTTCTTCAAAGCCTTATTCTTGCCAAGCCTGCTCTGCAGTTTCTTTGGAGCCATGCTAACAAGCATACCAAAAACCTTCCAAAACGCCACGAAACACACCACAAGCCTCACCGAACGTCTCCTTGCTACCGTGATCTCGCCCACAGGAAGCTGCGACCGCGTGTCAGCAGGGAAAATGGCCACGTATCCTGTTCGTACCCCGAGGCGGAGTTCGCAAACCGGAGCAAAATTTTGCGGCCAGAGCTGGTCGTAACCCAAAAAGTTAATTAACAGAAGCGTTCGTAACCTGAGGTTCCACTGTACAAATAAGGAGAATTACATCCATTTCAGTAATTCCACTTAAACTTACAAGCTATGAAAGATAACTAAAAGCTAGTATTGTTAACACAATACTATAACATCTCTATAAAAATCTTAATACTCAAACTATAGACTAAAGGGGGGCCTCTGAAGTCCACCAAATAGATGTAAAAACAGAGATTAGAAAAAACAAAAGAATTCTCAGTAAGTTTACCCAAGGCCAGTATACTTAACTACCTGTTTGCAAATTTTAATTCCTGCCAGGCAAAGTCTAGCTAAGTTGTATGTAATAAATGGTTCTTTATCTGAGAGGATAAAATCAAGAAGATAACTTTCATTATGACGTATAACACAAGAATGTTAACAATGTCAGCAAAGAATGAAAGTTTCTCAACTATGTTGATAACAGGGCAATGTAAAAGGACAGGTGGGATGGTCACAATAGTGTTTATGTTACATGGCCAGGTTCTCATACACATGGGGACTTTAGTAAATCTCCCATTAAGAACTGCAGAGTGTAAAAAATCAAACCTGGCTCTGAGAAAGGCTCTTTGTTGTGCAGTGGAGACTAAAGAAATTAAGCATCTGCCCGTTCCCCTCTGGAATAAGTTGTACAAAATCTAACATGGGCTGGAATATAGCTGACCTCATTCTGAAATTCTTTATCTAAGACCCATTCTCTAATGATTTGTTTTGCCTGAGTGTATTCCAAAAGAAGAAGTAACTCAAGTGGCAAGCCATAATAGGTAGCTTCCCCAGAATTACTTGTTGCCATGAAGATTGAAAGTGGTCTGTCAGGACTAAGGGATTCAGTCCTGATGGGAAAAAGTAGCATTTGAGCCAATAAATGAGTATTAACACTCATGCTCTTACCTCTACTTTTTGTCACTCTTTCTGAGCATCATATCTGGGCACTTTAAAAAGGGTTTGTAAAAACTTTGTTTCTACTGCTTCAAATGATTTATAGTGAGGGAATGGTCCCAACTGAGCATTGTACAACATTTGGGCCAAGGGCTTTGCTTTAAAAAGTTTCAGAGTTGATTGGATGCATTCCTTACCCTTTCTCAGGGAAAAAAAAAAGTTGCTATTCTCCTTTGAGCTTGTAAAACAGCATGATCAACGTGCATCTTCAGGCATCTGTAGACTAGAACACTATCCCTAAGTAATTTAAGTGTTCAGTCTGCTCAATTTCCTTCCCTTCAATCATCCATTTAAATCTATGGGTTTCTTGGCAAAAACCACCACTAATTGATTACCAGTACGTGCTCTCAGCAAAACATGAGTGAAAGCTTTGAATGCCCGCCTCAGTCCTACAGGTGTTTGTGAAAGGACTGCCACATCATCAGCATATTAAAAAAAAATAGAAGATCAACCCCAGTAACCTTGGGAGGATGGAAGCTTATATTGGATAATTTACCTGTGAGGGAGTTTAAATAGATGTTAAATAAGGTAGGAGTAAGATGCAGCCTTATCTGACTCCCTTTCAAGGAGAGACTGGGTTGGAGAAGATGCCTTGAGGGTTACATCTGTTTCTAACCAAGGTTTTATTATGAAGTTTCTGAATTAGGAACAGGAGGTGCCTGTCCATATTCATGTTACTCAACTTGTCTCTCTCTTCTACTCTCAATGTTGAGTCAAAGGCTGATTTGAGATCTATGAAGACTACATACAAAGTAGACCTACTCTTCTGGCTAAACTTTTCAATAAGGTATAGGACCAAGACATGATCTAAGATGGAGTGACAGAATGTAAATTGGCCTGCTTATTGCCCAAAATTGATTGTGTCTCTACACAATCCTATAATTTGTTGTTCAAGTGGTGGGCATAAATTTGCTAATACTCAGCAAACCTATTGGGTGGTAGTTAGCTGGATCACCCCTATTCCCTTTTTGGAATTTGGGCACTATAATAGCACTGCCCCAATTCTGGGAAATGTGACCATGTGATATACATAGGAAAAATGAGATGCCAAAACAGTTGCCCATCAGCTGGCATTATCCTTCAGCAGCTCTGGTGAGAAAGAATCACCATCAGGGGTCTTACCTGGCTTCAGGAAATCTATTAGATTTCTTATTTCAGTAAATGGTAGTGGGGGACATTGGCAGAGTTTCTCAATTTATTTCAATTTTTCAATCTGTGTGCTTCTGGTTATAAGAGTTGTAGAAAACTGTAAAGTAGATTCCCCATGTTTCCATGGGTACTTTGCTAATTAGAGGGTAGAAATCACTCCCTTGATGGCCTGCTGTGATTGCACCCTGGAGCATTAAACAGGTGATATGTAAAAATAGAAAAACAAAAAGCACTAAAATAAGCAAAAACAAACTCTCCCCAATAAACAACAGAAAAGGTTTTTAAAAAATGTATGAACAATCATAAATATTTATCATGCTTATTAAAGATGTGCAAATTCAGTCTGGAATGAGACTGTCCCCCCTAACTATACCTCCTCTGCACTATGCCATTTCAGAATGAGGCAATTTGGAGGTTTCCAGAAGTAAATATTTCAAAGCAAAATGGCTTGAAATGTCCTGGCTCTGAAAAAGGCCTATTTCACCCAGAATGAAAAATCAAACCGCTCCTGGTTCAGGGGATTTACTCCTGGAAACTGCCAAACTGTCCCCCAGACCAGCATGATCCAGAGGAAATGGAAAGTTTCAGAGTTCTTCAGAGTGATGAACTTTGACAACAGAAATATATTACAGTAAAACTTCAGAGAGGAGTTGAGGGGAGTCTGTTAAATCCAAATGTACTGTCATTTGCATCAATTTACATGATATGAGTTAAATATGTTATTGACAGAAATTGCATCAGTTGCACTAAAAGGTCAACTGGACAATGAAGAATGAAGGAAAAATTGGTTAGCTGTGTTTGAAGTCTGTTAAACCAATGTTTTACTGTACAAATATTAAGAACTGTAAATAAAGCCTTTCCTATGTGGTTAGTTTTTTCCTTTCAACTAAGTTTTTGTTTCTCAGTTTCAGATTTGGCAGAGTAAAATATAATCAGTCCCATTAAAAATACTTTTATTTGTTAAGTTTTCTATATTCATTCAAACTCCAAAATACTGGGAAACTGGTTTAAAAAACAGATTATTTAGGTAATCCTGATATGGTATGGTGTCTTACAAAACAAACCAGCAGTGTCATCACAACTTTGGACCTAAATATCTATCAGTGGCAAAGTGGTGTGACCTAAGTCCCAGATGTGTTTGTTTAAACACAGTGCAACTGAAACTACTGTGCAAAAATCCAGCTGGCAACCAATACCAATTCCTTTTCATTCCAGATGTATCTGTTTACATGCAATCAGCACAAACAAAACTACTGTTCAATGAAAGCAGTCGTTCAATATTATAAAAATCCAGCTGGCAATTAAAACCAATAATTCTTAATTCCAGATGTGTCTGTCTACATGTAATCTATGCAACTGAAACTACTGTGCAATTAAAGAAGTTATTTGTTACTGCAAAACTCCAGCAGACAACCAATACCAATACTGCTTTTCATTCCGGATGCGTCTGTTTACATGCAATCAGTGCAACCAAAATTACTGTGCAACTAAAGCAATCATTCAATGTTGCAAAAATCCAGCTAGTAATCAAAATCAATACCTCTTTTCATTCTTGAAATTCTCTTAATTGGAAGCTATTGTTATTGATTAATGACAACTGGATTTATTAATGTAGGTGAAAGATTCCAAGAGAAAGAAGATATTTTGGAAAAAAATTGGTACTTACACTATTGTCCAATGGATCTTGGATTCTAGACTCTTTTTAATGCTCTTTGGGAGTTGTTGACATTTCACTTTTTGTTTTGAAGATTCCATCATGGCTTTTGTTTCTGGATATTTTGTTTCAACTGCAAAAAACAAGAATGCTGAAAAGCTTCCATCTAAACTTGCTTAGACTGCTGTGCTCTATGATGCACAGTGTTATACAGTTCAAATGAGATTAACAGCAGCATTTTCCCAGTAAGAGATTTCCCCTATAAACAGTAAAGGAATTCCAGAATTCCAACAAATAAATTTAAACCAATGTGACAAAATGCTGGATAGGTTCCTAAAGTCTTAGGGTTTGTTTAGATTTTTAAATCAGCCTTATTGCAGTGCAATCCTAAGAAGACAACCAACAAAGAGTAGAAAAATGACATTAAACAAAATCTAAAATAATTCCATGTGATTTCCAGTTAAAGAATTACAACTCCAGCTAGCATCCAGTTTTAATTTTTCTGATTTAAAGTTCAATACAGTTTGCTCAGATGCTCATATAAGCTTCTCAATCTGCATCTAAAACAACAGACATAAATTGCCCTTGCATATTGAATGCAGTTAATATTGCCTCTATGTCATGTCCTTTCCTTTGTTTGGTAAATAAGAGCCCAGAAATATTTATAGCCTTGTGAGGTTCCTCTGTACCTATCCCCTGCAGTTACATGATGACTATGCCAGACAATCTTGGCACATTTTCACCGAATCCCTCAGGGAGATCTTATTAACATATATTGTTGAAAATATATTACAGAATAATTAGGCATACAGATTTTATTTCATTCTTGGCTCAGACTGTACAATTCAATAATTATTTGTCATTTAAAACCTAACTTGACAAATAAAGGATATAGCCATTGGGTATACAGCACTAGAAACAATCATTTTCCACATTGAGAGTTGCTATTAAATGGATTTTTGAGCCAAGTAATATTTTTATAACTAACTCAGAAGTAATAGTTATACTTCTGATGCGTTTCCTATATGGTGACAAAATAAAAAGCTTCAAAAAAATTTATGTATGAGTAATGAAAAGCTTCCATAAAGCATTTCTGGATTACGAAGGAAAGGGACCACACGTTTTGGCTAGTGTTTGGAAGGTGAGTGGTATTTTTATTCTTAGAAGACTAAAAAACAAAACAAAACCCTTAGGGTTTGTTAGTTTAACTTGTTCTGTCAAATTGTTTTACAAAATTAACTTTGTAAATAAATGGCTTCTTCTATCATTTGGTTTTAAGTTTGAAACATATTTTAAACATTACTTCTGCTATGTATGATTACACATTTTAAATTCATATAGTTATTTGCTACAAAGATTGCTAAGATTTTTAAATAATGATGTAAGAGTATGTATCTGAATAATTGTATTTGCCTTTTATTATCCAATCTATGTGTAAGCTATTTTTTGAGGATTTCCCCCCACCCCCCACTCTAAAAGAAAAAGTCAGGATCAGGGCTTCAATCATAGTTCAGCATACAGTTTAGAAAACACTGACTTAAACAAGTAATACTTTTGACAACTGATTGTGCAGTTCAAAGAGTAGCTGTAGCTGTCAAAAACATCTCTTTACACATCCTAGATGTTGTAATGGACATGAAATTCACTATGAGAGGACATTGACATTTCAGTTCTGAAGGAAATGGAGAAGGAACAATTAATAAATTATGCAAGTGGAGGTAGTCCTCACTTAATGACTACAATAAAGACTGGAAAATTGGTCATTAAGTGAGTCACCATGTGACTGGACCCGATTTTACAACCATTTTTACAACATAATTAAGCGAAATACGGCAGTCGTTAAACGAATCCAGCTTCCCCAATGGATGTTTTTTGCCAGAATTCGCTTAACCACGTGATTCGCTTAACAACCACATGATTCACTCAACAGCCATCATAAAAAAGATGGCAAATCGCAATCAGGTGACCACAGGGGGATGCGATGGTCTTAAGTGTGAGTACAGGTCGTAAAGCACTTTTTCCAAGGCCACTGTAACTTTGAACTGTTGTTAAACAAATGGTCATTAAGCAAGGACCACCTTATAATGGGGAAAAATAGAATAAACATGACTAATATTTTCTTTTATCCATCACAGCCCCAGTTCTGTCCCATATTAAGATAGGCAAGAAGCAAGACTATTTTCCATTTTCTATCCCAAGGGAATGCAGAACCAGAGGCAGGATGCATACTTTGAGGCAACTGCACTGTAAATATTAGTATGTCTTAGCCACTTATTTTCAGGGTTCTCATAGACAAGAAATGGAAAACAACTTAATACCTTCAGGAAACTGTGCTACCTCTTCCTCTTTCTTCTTTAGGACTACTAGTGTTTCCTGGTATAGAAAAATATGCAGGAACATGACATTTACATTTTAAGAAACATGCAGAAGGTTTTAAAAAATATATTTCCTATACAACTTGGCTTATCAACCTGCATGATGGCTTATATTAACCTTTTTATGCATGCAATTTTAATTGTTATGTTCACTCACAATCTTGCTTCTTACTTTTATCAATCCTGTGTATACTTCCCTGGAATCAAGTCCCATCAAATAGTGGGGCTTACTTCTGTCTGAAGCCCTTTCCCTTAAAATCCCCCAATGGTTTCTTCTGTCATTTTTTAAAAAACTCCTTTTTAAATAGGAAACATTTTCTGTTGCCTTTATGAGATATCTGAATTTGTGCCTTATTTCTAAGATAATTATTATATTATTTTTAAAACTGTATTCTCATCTTGGTAGCCTGAACATGTTTATTCCTTCTCTCCAGTTCTATCTTTTTTTTTTTTACTTTGTTACCCTGTCCAACAGAATTCATTTTTTTTTAAAATTTCCTTACTGCATTTTATTGCATAATAATGGACAGCTTTAAAGACAAAGATGATCAAGGTTGCTGAATAGCCTTAACATTTGGTCCCTAAATACCACGTAATTCACTGGAGTATAGTTCTAACTAAATAAGCTTAGAATTATGCTGTAAATTACTATTAGGGCAATGCAAAGGATCTGAAGGGTATTTCTCAAAGCATGTGGTACAAGAAAAGCATCCCTCCCGAAAGTATTGAAACAGCCATGTCCTCTGAAATGCTCAGGGTACCTGCTTTCAGTCTTTCCCATATCACTTTTCACCAACACTTCAAAAGTACTGAGTATTACTCTCCCTTTATATAATTCTTCAATTTAAGAATGTTTGATTTTATCAAGAATCCTTTAATTTAATTTTTAATTTTTTTTTTTGGTGCCTTTAAGTCAGTCTTGACTCCTGGTAACTATATGGACAATTGAATGTGTGAGATTTAAACTAAACCTGTAGCTAATTATATTCTGATATCTGGTGACATTTTAGATTGTAACATGAATGTTATGAGACAATACCAGCCTAGACTCCTGCTGTGCAGAAAAGACAGAAGCTTAGACTTTGGAGCTTTGCCCAAATAGCTTGGTCTCAAAACTGATCTAGAAAGAGGTGGTATCTTCTCTGAGCCCTTGAAGATACTCTGTCCCTAGACCCCAGAAACAACATTGGATTCTCTGCTGGCATTAGAGATATAAAGAAAAAACACACCATATCAATAACCTGGGAGAGGACAGCAGGGATTAATGTTTGAAGCTATAATTTCTTCAAACATCTCCCATTTTCCTCTCTCCCCATGGCAATATGTGAACTACAGGTGTTTATTAATCAAGCATTCCAGTTAGCAGCAGTGCCCACACAAAGGAAACTCAGACCAAGTCTGCTCCCTGCAGGAATATAGACTGCAACAGTAATAATACCTAGAGGCAAATAAGCTCTTTGTTGTTGTATAACTCAAGAGAATAACAATGCTATTTCTGCTGCTACCTCCTTTGTATTCTAAGATACACTCCTTTATGATTTTAAGTTGTTTGACAGACAATTATCCAACATGTCTATTAGGAATCACAAGGTTCATCTGCTGCCTATTATATAACCTTCCAAAGCAGCAAAACCCTGCTTGAAGCAGCTTTGGAAACTTGTTCAGCACTCCATTTAACAAATCCTTTGTCTACTTTTCAGTACTGCTATACTCAACTCACTTTTATTGTCCATGGTAGAAAAGGAAGTAGCCATGTTATCTCATCAGAGCATCCAGGACCAAATTCAGCAAGATTCCAGGTTTGCATTTTCTTTTACTTCCTTCCTTCCTCCAGAGTGTCACAAAGGGTAAGGAGATAACTTTTTTTAAAGCTAACTAGGCTCTTTGGCTTCTATTCCTGTGATAGTGTATGCAACACAATAAGAGTTTTAGACAATTTTCAAATTGTATCAAAAATATTATTCAATATTACATTCAGCTATTACTGTCCTACACTTTGGGCAAATATATTCTTTCCTTGGGGTGGTCTATTAAAACATGCAAATATCATTGGCCAAACTGGGGGTATTAAGTGTTCTTACCTTTTCAGAGTTCCTATCAGGATAAGGGAAGGCAGATTTCCACACCCTGATCCTTGAAAGAATTTACTGGAATTAGGAACACTGAACTACAAGGTGATTTATTCAGAATTTCTGCTGGAATATAGCTTAATGTGATTCCCCTACACAGTAGATAAGTCACTATATCAAAAGTTGGCAACCTTTTCAAGCTCAGGTAGAATCTTGCAGTGTGGCCCAAACTTCCCCACCAAAATCACTACAATTCTTTCAAAAGATGTTTACATTTTAAAATGTTAAGAAAACTGTGTGCATTATTTTTCAGGACAAATAACATAGTCATATGCTATAATACTGACCTCTGTATTAGAGAAGCTATTGGCTCCAGCCAATTCTCAAAGAACAAGAGCTCTGGAGAATTATCTGGAATATTAATATTTGTTACTCTAAACACATCCAAGATATCTGCGGAGCTTTTGTCTCAAAGGAAATATGTTTTGGTAAGATTTCTAGAAATCACAGAATTATGTTATTTGGGAGCTTCTATTATAATTTTGTAAGAAATTCATTTGCTTTTAAAATGAAGAAAATTGGTTGAATATTGGAGATAAAACTGCTGCTATGCTTAGATATAGGCTCCCAAAAGTGTCATCAAACTGTAATGTTTCATGTGTCAGATAATGTGTCTAATAATTTTTGTCAAACTGAACTAGAAGGTGGAAGTAGTAACAAGAGAGTAAAATGGATTAGCAAGATAAATGGCACTGATACTTTCAGATGAGATGCAACAAACTTGTCAATAAATTACAGGGTCATCTAATGAGCAAGGAAAGGGTATGTAGGAAATGGAACCTAAATCATAGTTTGATAAGGAGGGCTTATGAGCAAAACCAGACCTTGCCCAGGGTTATAAACAATACAAGAATAATACTGATACTATAAACTCTTAAATCTTACTACAAAAACAAAAAAGCATGTCAATACAAATATTTAATCCTAAATTAAAAAAGGAAAGCAGTTAAAAAATAAAGCTGGGTTCAGTTGATTGTGGCTGTAAAATTCCAAGACTTGCATTCCTTCTGGTGCAATTTAACATGAAACCCATATGTAAGCTTAAAATGTAACAACATCCATCTAAGAAGTTTATACCCTTGACAAATTGGTGCAGATGCAAATGTATTACCAGAGTCTATAATAGCCCAGAAACACTATCATGCTGGCCAATAGTAACTGAGAGGCAAGGCAATTAACTGAACAACTGAAACCCAATAAAGCCTCTTACCTCCACTGAGGTCTTCAAAATTAATTTTGACTGGGGGGCTCCATCACTGGCAACACTTTTACCTTTACTGATCATATTACTTTTATACTGGAAGACTAGGGCATGATCATTATAAATGAACTGCATAATATTTTTGATTCATTTGTTTAATTGGGTTCTCTTTATCTAGTTTTAGGACATGTGTGAAAAACAGATCATGTTGTAGGTCATATTTTTGCAGAAATATTGAAAATTCAAAAGGGTTCACAAACTTTTAAGTATCACAGTATATCTCAATTCAATTTAATACTAAATCAGATTTACTAAACTCTTCCCCTTAATCTTCCTGATCTTTGTTTCTGAGGCAGAAGGCATTCAGGACTTTCCACCCAACACCCAACATTATAAATTGCTGAATTAGTACCAGCTGAACTTGTGCTTAAGAATATACTGCTCAAGGTTCCTCCTCCCATCCTTCCCCCCTTTTTTAGTAAATAAACAGGATTGTCTTTTTTCATTATTTATAAACATCAATCTTTCATATTCTTCAAATTTCTATAAACCAATCTGCTTCTTAAAGGATCATATATGTCCTCTATTTAACATCATTCAGAAGCACAACCCCAAACCTGCAATTAAGTTATTGTGAATAAGCTGCTCCATTACTTGGTGATCTGGAAATCTACTGAGCATATAAAGTGCCCTTCTACACCAAAAACAATGTCCAGATGGCTAATGTAATCTGTTGCAGTAAAAGGCCAATACATTTATCATGGTATAAGCTTTCATAGACCTGTATCTACAAATTGTAATCTACAATTCCACTGCTCCTCTCAGTTGGCAGGTCTGTATGTATACATGGCTGTTGGAAGAACAGAGGGTGTAAATCTTAAAAAAAAAAAAAAAAAGTCTCTGAAATTGTATTAAACATAATAATAATAATAATAACACCATCAGCATTAACAAAATCACCAATTGCAAAAGGCATCTTTAATTGGAACAGCTTATATCCTGCGACTATACCTTTAACACCACCAAACAACAGCATCTGCCTATCCCAGGTCCTTGAGAAGGACTCAATAGGTGGATAAAAATGCCTAAACATCTGGCTGTGTGACCAACCATAACAATAATGTATTTTCACGTAGTCACTGAGACCTACTTATATGTTAACAATTTCCAGTGGAATCTTTGCTGCCCAAATGCCCCTAACTAAAGCAAGAATTATCCTAGTCTGTACATTTTGCATTTCACTTCCCTCTGCCCTCGCTACTTCCAATGCTATTATTGGGGTCACCAGCGAGTAGCATCCTCCACCCACTCAGCGCCATTTAGGGGCCCCAGAAACATTACGCAGCATAGCCACCTCTATAAAGCAAAGGCGCTGGAGACCCTGCCACGCAGCCCTAGAGCCTTGTAAACAATGGGCTATCAGGTGAATTTTGGCAACTGTGCTTTATTCAGCCAAACATGGTGAAGCACACCTTGGCTTAACCTGCCCTGTGAGCACGGCCCCCCGACTGAAAACGCCACCTCGGCCATTCCATCTAATGCCAGGACCGAGATTCCAATGACCCAAGAAGCCCATTAGCTTTTTAAATACCACACGAATCTTTTCTTATACACGTGTGAAATACTAAAGGGAGTACAGTACACTGCAATGCATCCTATAGAAGTAACCCGCGGCACCTTGAAAGCTTAGGCTTTTCTTCCTCCCCAACTGAAATGCTGGTTTCCTACAATACAAACTACCCACCTATTCCGGAACTCACCGTTTTTATTTCCACGTCTCTACGTATCCAAACTGGCCATTCGTGTAAATTCAAAAATTGCGGCCGTTCACAAACCTTTCCCCGCGGACACAGTGCGCAGGCGTACAGGGAGGGCGACTACGCCTGCGTGTCTGGGCGAGCGTGCAGCGCAACGGCACCTGCGCAAAGAAGTCGGTCTTCCTGTCCGTTTAACGGTGGTGGCGTAGCTTAGCAGGTATTACTTGGGCAGCCGCAAGGTACTGATTGATGTGGCTCGGGAGCGTTGGCCTTTTCTTTATCTTTCAAACGGAATCGCAAGTTAGTTAGGCCAATTTGTGCTTTGTGGGCTGTGTGAACCCACCTCGGTGATTCGTTTTTTTGTGTTGAGCTACCCGAGAAAATTAGATTAATTCCAGAAACTAGATAAGTTTCGGTGGGTCATTGCGTCCTCTGAACACAGCCTATGATTTGGTGTTAGTACACCTTGACGTATCTATTAGCCAGTTCTCTTATCATCTCGGAGCTACCACCACTTTTACCCATCCCCCTCTTTTGCAAGGAAGTGTGTTTGGACGTACTGTATATACAGTGCTTTGGAAATAATAGTAGACAATCAAACGATGCAGATCTATACATTTTCCCCATCGGGGACGGGGCGGTATGAGTGCAAGGCTCTTCAGTGCTTCTCGCTAACCTTGTAAAATAAGAGGTACAGCTTGTACTCAAGATTCACATATTCTACTTTTTAAAAAGGCATCAGGAGTTTATACAGCTGCTTTATTACTAACTTAGTACATATTGCTCTCACCACGGTGACTCTAAGAGGCTATTCTTTCCTATGGCTATTTTACTGAGGTCACCTGTTAAGGTGAACAGCTTGAAATGAATCCAGGCACTGTTTTTCTTTTTTCCTCCCTTCCATATTCTGATAGGTGGAGAAATCAAGCTGTTTGCTTAATAGTCTGAATGCTTGTTGCCATCCTGGTTCTTCCTGGTCCCCTTGTTCTCCCAGTCTGTTAAGACTATTTGTAAGCATGCCATGACTGAATAGTGTTTAGGCTGTGAGTTGCCACCTTGAGAGAATAGTTATGAGACAGTCTGTGCAAAACAAGTCTGAAAGTTCTTTTGAAATTAGAATCTCAGGAGTCTGTAAATCACAACCTTTTTATTCCTGTTATATAAAATGGATGTGTCTAGTTTTAGATGGGAGTATATAAAATGAAGAACTACCTCTTGGGGCTTCTTAAAAATAACTAATCTTCTTATTAATTTTATCCGGCTCTTGGAACACAGGGTGCATCTTCACAGCTACTTCAGTAGAAAATGTTACGGGTCAAGAATGGGCTTCTGCATCATTGGCCCTTCCGTTGCAGGAATGAAGTGGGTCCTCCTCTTCTCGGACACAGTCGGCGTTTGCTGCATCAGCAGCTACTCCACCCTGAATGGGCTGCAATGGCTAAAAAGCAGCTGAAGGGCAAAAGCCCCGAAGAGTTGATATGGCACACTCCAGAGGGAATCACCATCAAACCACTGTATTCTACACATGATACAGCAGGCTTTCCTGAAGAATTACCTGGAGTAAAGCCCTTCACTCGAGGTCCTTATCCTACCATGTATACCTACAGGCCTTGGACCATCCGCCAATATGCTGGCTTCAGTACTGTGGAGGAAAGCAACAAGTTCTACAAAGATAACATCAAGGGTGAGATGTGTTCCTGAGGGACTGGGCATTAAGGATAATGCTATGGTTGTAATCATATATTTTTGTACCTTCAGGTTAGTCTTGACTTCTGGATGAATCCCTATAGTTTTCCTGGCCACATTTTTGGAAGTGACTTTCATCCAGCTGGCTTCATGCCTAAGCAGAACTAGAACTCATGGTCTTCCAATATCTAGCCAGGTGCCTTTAGCCACTAAATCAAACTGGCTCTCAGTTGTAATCATAAACAGACAATATAAGAAATAAGTTGTTTGGGAATTAATAGCACCTTCTCAGGATGATCATATACAGCATTCAGTTTACTTTTACGTTTTTATAAGTACTTGCTCAGAAGGGATGCATTTTATTTCATGGGGTAGACTGAGAGGTTTTCCATATTTTCTCAGCCCGCAATAATAAATTGCTTAATTTGCAGCTGCTGTAAATACATAACATGAAATCTGTTTAAATATTTAGGATGGAGTTCTTTCATTAACAAAATTGCTTACAAGGGCAGAAACAAGAAGGGGGTATTTCTACTGCCCCATGTAGCCCTCTGTGCTTACTCAGAATGTGCACTGGAGGATTGGGGATCCTTTGGAGGAAATTGGAGGCCGCAGGATGAAAGAAAGCCTCATGCAATTGGACCCTTGTTTGCGCAACACTGAATTCTTCACTAAGTTTTAATGTGATTCCTTTTGGTCTGTATTCCTTTTGAACAACTAATATCCATTTTCAGTTAAATTCCATCTAGTAAAGATAAAGATACAACTGAATAAGTTAAATTTTATATTTTTACTAAATTATTAATTTCATTTCCAAGCTGGTCAGCAGGGTTTATCCGTCGCATTTGATTTAGCGACTCATCGTGGTTATGACTCAGACAATCCTCGAGTTCGGGGTGATGTTGGAATGGCTGGAGTTGCCATTGACACAGTAGAAGATACTAAGATTCTTTTTGATGGAATTCCTTTGGAGAAAATGTCTGTTTCTATGACAATGAATGGGGCAGTAATTCCTATCCTAGCCACGTTCATTGTTACTGGAGAAGAACAAGGAGTGCCTCAATCCAAGCTGACAGGGACAATACAAAATGATATACTGAAGGAATTCATGGTTCGAAATACATATATTTTCCCACCAGAACCATCAATGCAAATAATTGCTGACATCTTCCAATACACATCAAAGGTATTGTTTGGTTTTGTTTGCTTTAATTACCATAACTAATTATCATTATGATGCATATAAAGATCAGAGTTTGTTACAGAACAAATCTGTACATATTTTTCTTATAGCACATGCCCAAATTTAATTCTATTTCCATCAGTGGATACCATATGCAGGAGGCTGGAGCTGATGCCATTTTGGAGTTGGCTTATACTATAGCTGATGGCTTAGAGTACTGCAGAACTGGACTTAAAGCTGGTCTCACCATTGATGAATTTGCACCAAGGTACATGAATTCAGCTTTGGTGGGGATGGGGGTGGGGGAAGAGGATTCCTCTTAACTTCAGGGTCAGGGCACAGATTGCAAACTAAGCTGTTATATTCCATGGTTCCATCTCTTACACATGAGATTTTCTTGTCTTTTAGATAAATTAGGTAAGTGACTGTTCAAGAGTGTTTTTGAACGGTACTTTTTTAGTACAGTGGTACCTCGGTTCACGAACTTAATTTGTTCCACGATTCTGGTCGCGATCTGAATTGGCCGCGAACCGAATCAAATTTCCCCATAAGGTTCAATGTAAATAAGGTTAATCCGTTCTGACCCCTACGAACATGGTTGCCAACCGAATTGGTCACCAACCGAATCAAATCTTCCCATAAGGTTCAATGTAAATAAGGTTAATCTGTTCTGAACCATGTGTATTTTTTTTTAACCACAAAAATATGAAACATAGTACAGTACAGTATGAAGAGAGAGAACACTAACCTTGCTTGAGGCGACACCAAAAAGATTCACAGCAAGTGTCTGTCTGCAACCGCAATCTCGCCTAGAGGAAGCCACGATCACGTGTCAGAGCAAGGAAGTTGGCCGCAGGTGGTGTTCGTCACCCGATGCAGAGTTCACGAATGGAAGCAAAATTTTGTGAACGCTGCTGTTCGCAAACTGAATTGTTCGTGAACAGAAGCGTTCGTGAACCAAGGTATTACTGTATTAATACAGTTCACTCAATTCTTGAAGGTACAGATAAAATTCCTCTCTAATTTCTCCATTCCCATTTATCTCTAGTTATCATCTCAATGTGTGCCCATTTAGAACAACAGAATGTTTTAAAAGAACATTCATCTAGTTTGGAGATACACTTGGTTACTAAATAGAGGAACAGGAGGGACATCCTACGCTTGAAATTCTAGTGCTCTTATGTTGTGTGTTGGTGGGTGAGGGAACAGAGTTTGGGCAATATTTTGTCAGTTTTGAAGCTGTTTTTATGAGTGTGGAAACATTTATTTCACCCTTTTTAATCCATCTTTCTATGAGTAAAATATATAATATGTTTCAAATCTGGTTTGTTTATATAGCTTTGGTTGGTTGGGCGGGGGGGGAAGCAAAAAGAGTGAAAAAGTTCCTTCCTTGTTTATCTATAGTTATGGAATATCTGGATTAAAATAAAACAACTGCATTTGAAGGTACTATTATCTATTCTGTTAAAAAAAATGCTATATTTGTATTTTTTTTTAATCTGGCATCTTACTAAAATACTTCCTATCAGCATTCCCAGTGCATGAATAGATCATTAAGGTATTAATTTTAAAAAATGGTATAGATCCATGAGAGAGGAATTATTTACTAAATACTTAGGTTGTTTATAGTTCAACATTTCTTGGAATTTCCCAAGAGAGGGAGGCTATCTTCATTCTCTGCATGGTTTAAGTAATAGAATTTACTGCCATGTGATGTAGTGTTTCCATAGCTTTCATGGCTTTAAAAGTCTATTGGGCAAATTCACAGAATTTATTCACAGAATCTATAAAGATGATTATACAATTTATATCCTGCATTTATTAATAATGTTTATAATGAACCTTTTTGTTCAAAAGAAATATGCTACTGAATTAATAGGACAGAACACATAGAGAATTGTGTCTTCTTCCCTCATTCATTTCTTTGAAGGAAGACATTGGATTACATAGGCTTCTCGCCTGATCCAGCAGGACTACCCTTATGTTTTTTTTCCTGGCCTAGGTATAAAGTAAACTAACTGCTGCCAATTCTGTACTATTTAAAATCTGAATTCACAGTTGAAAAGTCTATCCTCTTTCTGACTTGAGTACAATTGGATTGTTCATACTGGTTAATATCCAGAGTATATCCTACTGAACAGTGACTATATCATTTTACATATAATTTACTTTCTAAGAATTGTGAAAAAGAAAATTAGGAATATTAATGCTAATACTTGAGCTATGTGTGTTGAATAGGGATGGGACAATTTATTATCATTATTAAATTCTTTAACTGATCTTAGCTCTGCTGTTGGTGGTGCTTGAAGCAAACAAGCTCAACAAATTGACCATTCTTTGAACAGAGTAACTTAGCTGAAAAGATTAGTCCACTTTTTCATGGCTTAGTGACATTTGTGGGTAAGAGAGTTTGGAATACTATACTGCTGGTGTAAATTAAGATGTTCATCAGATCTCTGTTCTCACCATGGACTGCACATAATCTCAATCCCTCTGAAAATCTATTCTTTCTTGGTCTCGTAAGTTACATAGAAAAAAGCCTTCACTGTTTGTAGGCAGTGAATATTGGCCATGATTCAGTGACCTTTTAGTAAAATCGCCTGTGTTTTTACTAGCCTAAAGAAAATGAGGAGGAGACTTTTAAAAGAATTAAATTGAAGTAAATGTATATGAAATATGGGTTCTACACTATCATTTATTGTTTATTCTAGGTAAGATCCTAAATTCTTTTATTGCAGGCTCTCTTTCTTCTGGGGAATTGGTATGAACTTCTATATGGAAATAGCTAAATTAAGAGCTGGGAGACGGCTTTGGGCTCACTTAATAGAGAAAATGTTTCAGCCCAAGGATACCAAATCACTTCTCCTTCGAGCTCATTGCCAGACTTCAGGATGGTCACTAACTGAGCAGGTACAAGTCAGAGTATCAGTTACAATGACATGCAAATTTTAAAGAAGTAAATACGTATAGTGTATACTCAACAGGTTGCTTTCTTAAAGATGCTTCTTCTCTAGAACTCTCTTAAGCTCTGGAGTCCTCTAACAATCCCAGTTTTATAGAGGTGGCATCCAGTTCACATCCCAAAACCTCCAGTGTTGCATTTGGGGAAGATTCTGGGGTCTGTTGGGGATAGAAGGGGGTGGGAAAATTAGTTTCCTGGAATTCCCTTCTCCCAGCATAATGGATGGAATAATAAGAAAGTTAAGACATTACCCTCTATAAGCATTTTATTTTTTTCATCCACCATTGATGATAAAACTTTGCCCAAATTTTCTGCAGTCTAATATTCTGTATTTGTAGGTGTGCTCCATAGCAATACATATTTCATATTTGATTAAAATTTTATAGATTGAGAAAGAGACAGAATTTAGGCACTCAGCTGTGTTAGGGCTGTTCAGAGTATTCAAACGGAGTTTTACACTAGTGTGAGTGAAGCGTCTCTCCTCAAAACATGAAAGCAACCACAGCCTTTGGAAGGCTTGCATTACTGCTTTGAAGGCTGTCAGTTGCTTCTCTGCCAGTCTTGGCATGCAGTAAGTATTGTCTGTATATGTACAAATACATTTACAGACAACCAGAGACAGTTCTGAAGCATCTGCTTGACTTTTCCAGAGGATGTGGTGGCTTTAATGCTCCAAGAAAAGGTGCTTTGTTTATGCTACTACACTTTTTGAAGTGCTTATTTTGAATGTTTTGCGCAGACTTAGTAAATATGATCTAAGCCAGCCTTTCCTTAACAAGTGGGAATATTACACTTAGGTAGGAATTCATAGGAGAGATTCTGACATATTGGAAGGACTTCATGTTGGGGAAAGCTGGTCTAAGTTGTCTTATAAAAAATATAGTTTCCCTTATAATGTATCTGGCTCATTGATCAAATAAGGAGTACATGTTGATTGCACTTATTTATTTATGCAAACATTTATATTCTGCCTTTCTACTGCATATATATTACTAAAGGAAGCATTTAACCATTAAAATCAGTAATTTGATCTTTTTCTGACTCCCCACCCTCCATTCCATCATTGGGAGCATCCCAGTCCCATGTAAATAACTCACTTCCATCTGGTTATGACAGGGTTCAACCTGCAGATGTAATATTATTGATAAAAGTATATTTTTTAATTCTGATTTTGTTGAAGTTTCCAGACCATAACTGATGTCAAAGTCTAATTCAATAAACATTCCTTAATCTTTTGCTGTACTAAAAAGACAAGATGTATTGCCCTGCATCAGTTTTATTTTTTTTAAGCAAAGTTATGATTTTTGTAATAGGATCCTTACAATAACATTATCCGCACCACAGTCGAAGCAATGGCAGCTGTGTTTGGTGGTACCCAGTCCTTGCATACAAATTCATTTGATGAAGCTTTAGGACTGCCAACTGTGAAAAGTGCACGAATTGCAAGGAATACACAGATAATAATACAGGAAGAATCTGGCATACCCAAAGTTGCTGATCCATGGGGTGGTTCATTTCTTATGGAATCTCTTACCAATGATGTTTATGAAGCTGCTTTAAAGGTCAGTTTGTTGAGTATAGAGAATGGGAAATAAGAAGATGCTGGTAATCTTTCATATGAGTTCAGAAAAAAATACTAGCTTGCTTGTTCATATTGACATATTGTGTCTTTAACAACTATGTGCCTTCTGGCACCAGGCTAGAATCTAGGAGACACGAGTTCTAGCCCCGCTTTAGGCATGAAAGCCAGCTGGGTGACTTTGGGCCAGTCCCTTTCTCTCAGCCCAACTCACCTCACAGAGTTGTTGTGCGCAAAATAGGAGGAAGGAGTATTAGGTATGTTTGCCACCTTGACTTATTTATAAAAATAATAAAGGCGGGATAAAAAAATATTTTTAAACCCCCCCAATCTTTTCTGGTTAACTGGCAATAAATTTTACTTTTCACTGATGAGTCAGCAGATGACTATGAACAAGTCCATGCAGTTTTCTTGGCAGCATTTTTAGAAGTGGTTTGCCATTCTCGTCCTAGGGCTGAGAGGGAGCACGACTAGCCTGGAGTCACCTCAGCTGGCTTCATGCCTAAGGCAGGACTAACTCATGGTCTCCCAGCTTCAAGTCCTGTGTCTTCACTAACCCAAATAGAAGACAAGTTGGGGGGTTAAGAGAGAGACCAATTAAGTCTAAGTTAAGAACATCATAATAAAGAATACTCTATATGTTGTCTGGGGTTTTTTGGCCTGAGGCCTAAGGAAAGAAGTTAATTATATGGCGTAAGGGTATTGAAATAAATTACTGGTGCACCATTTGTAGAAGAACTTTTAAGTTCTTTCATTCTGAGTTTGAGCTACTTTTAAATTACTTTGTGGGACATTAATTAATCCTTTTAGGAGTTGGGAAGCGTATTATTTTTTATATTAAGTTCTTGCTTATAAAGAGGGTTCTTATTTATTCCTTTTTGGTAACTAATTTTTCTGCAGTAGGGAACCTAAGTACTGTTTTATTAAGCAAATATTATACTAGACAGCAAGCACCCTTGTAATCATTAACAGCAATTACAACATCTTGTTTGCTAGCTCATCAGTGAGATTGAGGAGATGGGTGGAATGGCCAAAGCTGTAGCTGAAGGGATACCAAAACTTCGTATTGAAGAGTGTGCTGCTCGTAGACAAGCCAGGATTGATTCTGGTAAGGGAAGCACAATTATTTAAATGCTTCAGTGTTGTAAGCATTTAAAAAGTCCTTTCTTATCTTGCTGAAGTAATAAATGCACATGCATGGTAAGAATTTGATTCAAATTTTCTATAACTTTTTAAATTCTGTTCCAAGATAAATTTTAAAAAAATGAAAAAGAAGAGCATTGGAACATTGTGTTGTTTGGCATGAAAACTCTGCAACTAGTTTTGCATGACCAAGGAAACTCTGCATTTATGTTTCTCAGACAGCCTTCTATATTGCTGCTTTGCCAATTGTCAAAGCACTGGCCAGGTGCAAGACAAGTGATTCTTTCAGGTCTTTTAGATCCAGAGACTTTGAACACTCTAGCAGGTGAGGGGATTTTAAGCTTTATTGTTAACTCTAGCAAACAGGAATATAAAAATATAACATACAAAATTAGAAGATACAATTAAACAGAAATACAAAAGCATAGTATAAAAGCATAACATCCAAGCAAGATGATAAAACTCTTCTCCTATTGTCGGGAGCTACCAGAAGGTGACAGCAGAGAGATCCCAAGATGGCTTAGATAACTCAACTCCTGGTACCAAGGCCTGTGTCCACGCTCCAAGACTCAAGGGGCAATGCCAGGGTTTTTATCAAAGTCTGGCACTACAATCTCATGACTGTTTCCATGGAGTCAGAGGCTGTGGGAGCCCGACCTTGACCAGATGTTACACCTGCTTGTCATGTGAACCAAGAGCCTGGGAACAGCTAAACATTATGATGACTCAGAGTAAACTTTCTTAACATGTGCAGGTGAAATCAAAATATGTCACCTAAACCCCTTGAGATAACAATGGTATTCCTCATTGCCACTAGAATTGCATACTTTAAAATAGTAGAATACAAAGATTGCTGTCTCCCACCCCCAAATCTCCTGGGCAGGCCAAAGCCTTTAAGTTCCCTTAAATAATTTTTTGGATCCTTTTCTGCTCAACAACTTACTGAGACAAAACACATAATTTCTCTACAGGACTTAAATATGTTTTAAGTTATTGTGGTTTGTGGCTTTGGTAATTGTATCACTTTTTTGTTTTGTAAATTCCAGTTACAAATTCCATTCTTCTAACGTATCCATTACATATACTGTATGTAATTAAAACTGCAACAGTTCAAAATGATCCTGTAGTATCCTAAGCTTACCAAATATATATGCACAAAAGTTCTTGAAGTAGAATAGTTAATAGGAATTCAGCAGTTAGTCTGTTCTTATATGGGTGTACTCACATGAGTCAAAAGGGCCATTTATAGAATCATTCTGGAAATCTTGATTTCTCTTGTATGGTATTATCATAGTTTGTCCCAAATTAAGAAAAGTCTACTGTTGCACTTAAACTTCTTCACACAATTTTTTTTTGCATTTTTAATTGAACAGAGTAAAGCTGGTTCTTAAAAACAAAGACTCTGAAATCCAAAAGTGAAAAAAATAACAAATTCATGAATTGCATTAATAGGCAAATTATTCAGTTGCAGATACTATATATGACCGTCATTTTGATTTAAGAAATTTCAGACTTTCTGATAAATCACTGAAGAATTTCAGCTTTACAGAACAGTTTTAGAAGGCCTGAGTGTGTATGTGGCAAAATGGTGCTTTGAGCCCACCCAGTCCTAGTAAGGCCAATGGAAAGGCAACATATAGGTCCTTCCAGCTATAAACTCTGAGAATTTTGAGTCTACAATTAATTAGTTCCATAGGTACATATTAACCCCATAAGGGTGCATGTATTTTAAAAAAAGACTCTGAGGAATACTATTACTTTCATTTTTAAGATATAACTTGTAAAGTTTGTTTTATATATATAGAACAACATAAAACAGTGTTGCTTTAGTATATAAAAGAAAAATGATGAGATAATTCCATTTGTAATATACATATTGGAGAAAAAAGGAATACCACATATTGATCCAATTTATAAAAAAAACAAAAGAACTCCATATTTAAGCAAAACTTGTTTCAGCAATTTCCATTTCACCATATCAGAAACATTTTCTGCATTCAACAAAACCAGTACAGCTGATTTTTATTTTTTCTAAATGTATATCAAGTATAACAGTTGGCAACCTTTTATAAAACCAGATCGTGCAAGATTGATGACCAAAGGTAATGTCATCTGCAGTTTACATGCCAGGGACACAGTCAATACTTTTGCATCAGCTTTTAGCAAGGAAACCAGATATTAACTTGCACAATGAACCAAGTTTCTTTTTCTTTCTTTTTTTTTATCTGCGCTCAGTCGTTACCGACTCTGCAGTGACTGCTTGGACGAGTCCTTTGCAGTTTTCAAGGCATTGTTTCAGAAGTA